ATCCAGCGAAGTTTTTGAGTTGCAGGAGTGAAGTCGTACCGGTAGCTTTAGCGAAAGTTGTAAAGAGAGCATAAAAATGCAAAACATTTCTTTCTCTCTGTCTCTCTCCCTTTCTCCTTCCCATTTTTCTATCTTCTCCTTCTTTTCCCTCCTTCTGAGTTTCAATTTAATAGATTTAGACTTTGCTAAGTACAGTTCCTACCCTGGAATGAGTAGAGGGGGTAAGAAACGAATGGGGTTTCCGCTCTTACCTTAACTCAGACGTCGAGCTTTGTAGAGTCAATCAATTTATACAAACACGTGAGAGCCATTCTGTTCTGTCACCTTTGCATACACCGCTTTAACAATGACAAGACAGTAAAGCTTGGTGGTAGTAATCTAATCGACTTGGAAATAAAGGTCGTCATTGACTCACAGTTAACACTCGGTTTCATTCGAAATAAGGATTTAACTGCAAGTTAACTGTCAGCTACAGAAAGAAAGGTTGGTTGCAAATCCATCTGACCACAGCAAGATTGAACCCGCGATAGTTAATATCTTACACTGTGCCTATACCACTGGACTACAAATCATAAGTACTCAACTAAAGCTTTACTAGGTAAGAGAGGTACCACGGAATGATTTTTAATCTTGTTACGTTGTGTAATAACTCATGTTATGCATATAACGGGCAATATTCGAGTCAACACCACGTTGGTCTGAAGCTCGGAACTCGCAATAAAGGCCGAGTTAGCTGGCAGTCAAGAAATGAAATGAAACTGCGAGTTAACTCCTAGTTGCAACAATAGGGTGAGATAGTGTTGTTAGGAATAGAGGTACAGTGCTCATTTCATGAAAAGTACTCCATACACCTTTTAATGATATGGACACTGTTATACCTGTGTCCCTATTTCTTACAATGCTTTCGTACCTTATCTCGCAAATAACTCAGTTCCATTTCAATTATTAAATGCGAGCTAACTTGAAGGACTGCGAGTTAACTCTAAGTTTGCTCCGATAAATTATTTTTATGCGTTTCAAAATTTTAGGAATTTACTCTTTGTAAAAGTTTAAAAGTCTCATAGGCGCATTCTCCTGTATCAAAACTTCCTGGATTTTTCGTTTTTTAACATGTTAACTGCGACAATAAAACTTGCAGTTTCATTGTCAAATTACTACCATCTCTGATGTGTCTATAAAAGCCCTAGATTTTCCCTTTGCTTGGTTATCTGACAACGAAGACGTAATTTCTGCTGATAATATTCAAACTATCCAATTGTATATTATAGTCTTAGGAAACATCTCACACAGTGTAACTTCCTTCTCAGGAACGTATTGTGCAGGAGTATTATTTTTTATTTATGATATG